TTCAAAACTGTTTACAGAATGTAACTTGTTTTTAGCTTGACATATCTTATTCATAAAATCTCTAATTTGAAAATATTGACAGCAAGGTGTGTTTGTGCCATGCATATTTATTGCAATTTCTTGTTTTGTCAACACATTTTTTTACACACAAAAATTGATCAGATGTATATACTTTTAGATGTTATCACTGTTGGTGTTGCTTTTGGAGATGGTGCGAACCAATTTTAAATATTTATTTAACCTTTGTCTGCCAGGAACCATTCAATCTATCAAATTCTACTCTAGTTCAAGACAGGATAGATATGGTTGCATAGCCTGATATCCGCAAACAGGTAAATGTTTGGCGGTGAGCTTGTAAAGTGTGGCCTAAATGCTGTCGTGAGGAGATTAAAATTAATCTTAGCTCTTTCCTTCCCCCATTTTATTTTTTATTTGCAAATATAACAAAAATAAAGGAAGTGGGGGAAATAAAAATGTCACCAGCTGACATTGGCAATAAAACATTCCATCAATCTTAATACAAACATTTAGGATAATATTCAACTAACTTTTACTCAGAGTAGGCACATTGAAATTAATGGGCCAAACCTAGTCATGTCCATTAATGTGTCTGCTCTGAGTAAAAGAATACTACCCATTGGAGGTGCCAACTTGCACCAAATATTGGGGGGCCAGTATGTGCGTCGCATGCGTGTGACTTCACACATGATGGCTCCGGAGCCCGCACTTTCCTCACCAGTGTTTTATTACACTCCTGCAGCATTTAACAATCCTAATTCATTTATTTGGCTCTACCTACCTACTACTCTATATGGGTTCCTTTTTATTTTTATTTAAATGAATATTCTGTAAGGTGGAACAGCTCTAGTTCCCACTTTGCCCATTTTTGTCATACTGAAATGCTCATCTGTGTACGTTATCTTCCACAGGCTCATAAGGCCACCTTCCTTTTCACCTGTTCTAATCATCAGATAGAGGAGCAATCCCTCCCCGTCACAGCCTGACCTGCTGGTCTCCACAGATAGGTTAACCCTCGGAAGAGACAGCTGTTCATTTCCCCTGACTGTCCTTCAGCGCTACTTCAGCCAAGGCAGAAAGCTATGACTTCCTGCCAAATTTCTGCCAGCAGAGGATACCAAAGAAAGCCAGAGTAATACAGAGCTTTCCAAAACTGCCTTGGCAGCCTGGATCAAGGGAAACAGAGGACACCTTGCCACTTGCTGCTTGTGAAAGGATGGGGAACAGAATAATAAAGCAAAGACACACTTCACTAAAACACACACACACACACACACACACACACACACACACACACACAAACTGTACAACTTTTGGGGCACTTCCAGACAACCTGTTTATTGAGCTTTCATCCTGATCTGTTTGCATTAAGTTTGTGGGGAAGTTTGACGATGTCAGCTATTTACTAAGCATGTCACATCCTCATTAAGAAGGAAGTCTAATATGCTATTCGTGTTATACAGGAATGTACCTAAGTCTATATCAGCAATAGGAAGCCTATGGCCCCAGTCAGCATGGCCAACAGTCAGGGATGATGGGAGTTGTAGTCCAAAAACATCTGACTGGGCACAGGTTCCCCAGCCATAGGGTGGAATTCAACATAATGCTGTGATGAGTATTCCATCTGCGCAACCATTGCAGCTTGCCAGATGGGACAATCCCCCCTCTTCTTCCTGGTGCACTGTTTGAGGGTTCTGCAGACCCCTCTAAACCAATTTCAGGAGATGCGCAGGAGAAGAAGAGGTGGAAAAGCTCCATTGCCCATTTGGGCATCCATGTGCAAGACTTTTGCCTATGGGGTTCATTAGGTAAATCCCACCCTGATCTAAACATTGACTGGATAATAATTTTTGGGGAAATAGTTTAGCAGCAGCAGCAGCAACAACAACAAAAATTATAAAGTTCAATAGGGAAAATATTTGTGAGCCCCCTTCCTTAACCAAACAACACAACAACCTTCTTAAACATAATGACATGATCTATTTGAGGTGTAAGAGCCATTCTGGTATGAATAGAAACCCATTCACAAATCTGTTTGTGAGCAGTGATTCATAAGAACGGATGAACAGGCCAAATCAAACAGAAGCAGAGACTTTGAATAACAGCAAACACAGTTTTACTTTAATAAACCAGCTCCCGAATGAAAGCAGAATCTAGAGCTGTTCCAAACGTGACTGACTGCCGCTTTTGATCTCTTTAGCAATACATTTGTAGAACCAGTCTTCAGGTTTGAGTGGTTTCCAGTAAGTTCCCATAAACTTCGCACATGCACACAACTTCAGACCAGGAATGAGGGTCAGTTCCAAGCTATTTGCATATTCCTTTACTCCACACTTCAGAGTTCATCAATCCCTTGATGAGCTGATAAAGTTTGCATCGCCCCCTACCCAAATTCTTAGGAATGGAAATAAAATGAAGTCAAAAATATACTGCAGGACCAAGACCTTCACAGCTTCAGAGGTCAGCACCTTGCATTGTGCTTGGAGCTGACCAACTGGAAGATTAAAGAGCTATTTCCTGGTTGTCAAAATGGATGTAGGGTACACCTCTACCTAGTAGGCAGAAGAGCAACTACCATATAAGCAGGACCCAGTGTAAAATACACCTGACCATTTCTGCCCATGACCTTAACCTCCAGATGCGAAGCTGAATCAAAAATCATTCCCAAGCTGAAAGAGGAAGTGCACCCCCCATTAAAAACAAATAAATCTTAATAATTTTTTATTCTCCACCACCAGCATCTCCTTGCATATTCTGAACCTCAGCTGAATTTAACATGCAAATGTGAATTAACTTTTTTGTGATTTCATAAGGCTTAACAAGGTTTTGGATCACGTTTCATCACTAAAGATGCAATCGCAAAAGCATATTCTAGAGCAACCTTCCCTAATGTGGTGCCTTCGGGATATTCTAGACTCCAACTCTCATCAGCCCCAGTCAGCATTGTCAATGATCAAGGATGATTTCAGAGAATCACAGAATTGTAGAGTTGGAAGGGACCCTAAGGGTCTTCTAGTCCAACCCTCTGCAATGCAGGAATCTCAACTAAAGCATCCAGGACAGTTGGCCGTCCAACGTCTGCTTAAAAACCTCCTAGGAAGGAGTGTCCACCACCTTCCAAGGGAGTGCATTCCATGACTACTATATCTCTATCTTTTGAATTTATGGTAATTTGCTCTAGGGAAGCATCAGCCAATCTTCAGGCTGGCTTGGAGGTCTATAGCAGACACCCACAGTAAGGTAACTGATGTTTCCATTTCCTACAATTTTTACCCCTATATTCTCAATCTGCCTTCTGTGCTCCAGGTTGTGGATCTATACATATAATGCTGCTACTCCTTCCTTCCTGTTTGGTCTATTCCTTTTGAACAGGTTATACCCTTCCATTTCTACATTCCAGTCATGAGTCTCATCCCTCCAGGGTTCAATAATGACTATTAGGTCATATCTGCCATCTGATATTAAGAGCTCAAATTTGTCTTGCTTGTTTCCCATACTCTGTGCATTTGTATAGAGGCAACTGAAACCATGAGTCATTCCCTTGAGCTGCTTCCTTCCTGTAGTTTCCTGCTGTTTATTAGGGTCTTGTAGCACCACCACAGTTTTCTGTGCATCAGTGAAGCTATTATCCCCAGTACCAGATGTTCCTCTGTCATCTGTAATATTATCTCCCTCCTGCTCAGGATTTAGTTTAAAGCTCTTCTGATCAGGTTTGTGAGGCTCTTAGCAAGCACATTATTGCCATCCACTGCGAGGTAGAATCCATCTCTTGACAGAAGACCTTTCCCGATAACGCCAACTGTGCAGCCACTGGTTTACTTCCAGTATTTTCCTCTTTCTTCCTGGGCCATGACCTTCACAGGAAGGAGTGATTAAAAAACCACCTCTGCCAGAAGGCCCTTCAGCTTCCTGCCCAGAGTCTCATAGTCCCTTGCTATACATTATAGGCTGTGTTTGGCAGTATCATTTGTACCCACACGAATAAGAAGGAAGGGGTTGTTGTCAGTGGGCTTTATAAGAATGTGCAACTTCTCTATTACTCTTTCCATGTGGAAAACAACACACCTTCCAGGGCATCCTTTTACCTCTGCACACTGCTGTCTTTCTTCCCCTCAGTAGGGAGTCATCTACCACCATCACAATCTCTTCTTGCTCTGGGCAAATAATTCTGTACATTGAGGTTTGCAACTGCTGTCCTTGCTCCTCTGGCCCAGACTCAGAAAACAGATTCCTAGCAGGGTTGGAGTTTGGGGCCTCTAACCTGGGCATATTTATTCCAATACCTGCATTCGGGCCAATATAATGAATCTTCCATTCTTGTCCATTGGAGTGTATCTGGATATTATTAGGATAACTGCCAAAGGCAGGAAGGAGTCTTATGGCTTGAGAACTTCCTACTCCTTCCTTTCAAGTTGCCTTTTCCAGACTGCCATTCCCTTTCTCTGAGATCATTTTCTTGGAAGGTAGCGAGTGAGTTATCAGCATGCTCAGTGCTTTTTTCTGGGGGGACGCAGGGGTACGCATACCTCTAAACATTTTGTGAATCTAAAGGGAGAAGAAACTAAAATTTGTAAAAAATATCACTTTCTTCTGTAGCACAGTGAATCGTCAGGTCTGTTGCTTCCTCCAATGGCAGCTTCATTTCCCATCACGGTGTTTTCTGAGTCTCAGATGGAAACGAGCATTTAATTGTGTGAAGTAGGAGTTGGAATGTGGATGTGTGATGTTTTACTGATGAAAGTTTGGCCTTATTGAGGGGCAGTATTTCATATGAGTGATACATGTTCTTTGTACTTTTGTCCATTTACTGTATTTATTTTTCCCAATTTGAACTATAAAATGGTGATTTTCTGGAGTCAAAATGAGAGTACCCCTAAACATTTTTAAGAAAAAAAAACATTGAGCATGCACATCCACTATCAGTAGCCTTGGATCTGAAGAGGTTAGGTGAAGAATGGAAAATGACTGCTCCTCCATTGTCAGCTGCGATAGCTCAGTCGGTAGAGCATGAGCCTCTTAATCTCAGAATCATGGATTTGAGCCCCATGTGGGGTAAAAGTTTCCTGCATTGCAGGAGGTCGGACTAGATGACCCTTGTGATCTCTTCCAACTCTACAATTCTATAATTCTAAGTCCATTTCCTGAGCATTCAGATTTTGAGTTGTACTCCAAAACATTTGGAGAGCACTAGATTTTGAGGAAGGTTGTTCTAGTGCATAAATCCCATTGATCTCAATCGATCAATAGACTTACTTCTGAGAAAACATGCTCAAGATTGTCCTGTATGTTCCACAGCTACACACATACACAATCTTATATGACAATGCTTGTATTTAACTGTGACAAGTATTTTCATGGACAGAATGAAATCCAAGACTCTGCTGAACTCGGTGCAAACTTTTCCATTAATGACATGTGGCCCTGATTTCACACGAAATACCAGGCAGATCATGTTGGTTTTGACAGTAAAATAAACACATATGCCTGATGTACATTCATGAAATAATCAGTTTGCCCCACCATTTGAAACTGCCATGATGTGAGGGTAATTAAATTCTAATAACCTGCCTGGAATGGCTGACCCGCTGTATTTATTCCAGGTATTTCCATGAATAATGAGCCCATTCAAAGCTATGGGGAGTTCATAATTGCTTTTGATCTTCCTATGACAGGGTTGTAGCTCTATCTCTGTGTCACTGATTTAGTATAATTTATCTTAAAACTTGAATTCTTCCAAAATGTCTTGCTGGCTTTTATAATCTGCAAGAGAAGGATTTTGTTTGGATGAGAAAGCACTGGAACAATGTGAGCAATGTAGATAACAATTCTTAGCATTATTTCATTATTTCAGTGTATGTCTATGTTAACGAAAAACAGCAAATCATTTTCTTTTTTCTCTCTCTATCAGATTTAGTTCCATTTCTGCATCTTGTGTAAAGCAGAGTTTCTTCTTCCTCCTCATGCCCATATTTAAGTTTCCGTTGATTTAGAATAACCTCAGACCCATCAGAGGTGGTCTGAAACATTCACCTCATGTTTTCTGCACAAAGCAGAGGATCAGGTGATACTGCATTTATGCATTTGGTCAGTCCTACATTACTTCACAGCAATTCTTCTTCTTCTTCTTCTTCTTCTTCTTCTTCTTCTTCTTCTTCTTCTTCTTCTTCTTCCCCAGACTGAGACTGAAGGTGGCTTACACAAGTTTACACAAGTTAAAACAACAAACAGAAAATACAGAAAGCTAAAAAAATATAAAAGATAATTAAAAGTAATCAAACTATTAATAGCATCAGCACAATATAAAAGCCAAATCTATTAAAATACAGATAGTAAAAACAGCACAGCACTGTTAAAAGCCATTTCCTTAAAAAGCAGTCAGTTCCCAAAAGCCTGTTGGAATAAAACAGTCTTCACATGATGGCAAAAGGACAAGGAGGGAGCCAGTCTAGCTTTTCTAAGAAAGGAGTTCCGAAGTCTGGGAGCAACCACCTTGCACAAGTCATATGTGTTAAGTTGTAGGTGAACATATCAGACGACACAGTGATTCTTCAAACAGCTCTTGTTTATTCAGAGGCCAGAACAGAACTGAGCTGAAGGGTTCAGTCAGCCTGCTTATATAGAGCTCCAGTACACATAATTGTAACCACTTTCTGTAACTATCCAATCACTGAACGTCACTTTCGATCCCTTATTTGCATAGCTATCTACAGTATCCTCCTGCAGGCCCAGGGTGAGAACTTCAGTACATAACAATATGTGAGCAGAGAGGACAGTGGCAGAGGGCCTGGAATCTAATTGGTAGCCTGCGGAGTTGGACCAGCATTGGTGTAATACATTCAAGCCATCTTGCTCCAGTGAGCAACCTGGCTGCTGAATTCTGCACTAGCTGAAGTTTCCAAACTATCTTCAGATGCAGCCCCATGAATAACGCGTTGCAGTAATCTAAGTTAAAACTGGGAAGCAGGAGTGAGAAACAAGACAGGAAGTCAGGAACAAGACATCACCCAGAATGCAGGAATACAAAGTACAGGAATAGAATAATCAGAACTTGCTGCTTGAACAAGGCTTACCTGCAACTGGAAGTCATCTTACATCTCCATCCTTCCTGGAGTATCCAGTTGGCAGACTTGGTGGCTGGGTTCAGTCCAAATCCTGGAGGTCTTTCAGATTCCACTGTATGAACCTGTAACAGCCTCCCCCAACCTCCAGATATTTTATGGGGCATGGCTCTGTTGGTTAATGCATGGTGCTGATAATGCCAAGGTTGCAGGTTCAATCCCTGTGTGGAACAGCTGCATATTCCTGCATTGCAGGGGGTTGAACTAGATGATCCACAGGGTCTCTTCCAATTTTACAATTCTATGATTCTAGATTCCAACTCCCATAACCCCTGACCATTGGTCATGCTGACTGGGACTGTGGGCCAGGACATATGGAAGACACCAGATTGGGAAAGGCAAATCTGGCAGGTCTACAGGCAAATGAAAGAGAAGCGCTGAACTGTTTTGCAGGTGGGTGCTACAACAGCTTAAGAACAGCTTCTTACATGCAGCTTGACATTTCCAGCAGCCCAAACTTTATAAAGTTTTCCAAATGAAGGCTGAACTAAACTTCTATCCAAATCTCTCTCTCTCTCTCTCTTAAAGGGATTCATAAAATGAGGGGAGGAGCTTGTGTTTTTCTTTCCCCACAGGATGGTCTGGCTGCCAAGATTAGGTCCTCTTGCCAGAGCGCAACCTTCTTATAACCCCCTTTGAGATTCAGCAACAAGCAACAACAGACTCGGAGATCAATTCTATTTTACCGCTGGCTGCGCTTCATGGCAAGGCCTGCTCAGGGAGCAGAAGGCTGCGGAGTTTCATCTGTTCAGGCAAGAGGTAGAATTAACCTTTTCCTGCCTGCTGTTGGAAAGACAAAGTTCACCTAACTCATTTTCTTTACATCATTTATTGTTTCATTATCTGGTTAGCGACAATTGAAGTGTATTTTTCTGTTGCGCGTCGAGGTCCCCAAGACACCCCCCCAAAGAAAAACACAATTGACACTTAATTTTTGTTTAAGGTTTTTGGCATAATTTTGGCCACAACTTTATTCAAATTACAGCAATGTGAGTGGTTGCTTAGGCATTGGTAGCACTAACTGACCCTGCACGGGGACAGCTCTGACATTCGCACCCCCCGCAAAGTCAGCAAGGGTAAGTCACCTGGGGAGAGAGACGGGACTGGGAACCATGCCTCACCTCTTCCCAGCATGTTCCCAGGGGCTTGCGTGGCCCTAGCCCCTTGCCAGGGGGTTTCGGACAAAAGCATGGGGAGCCCCTGGGTTCCTTTAACGAAAAACCCTTGAAGCAGCAGCAGCAGCATTTTGGAGGCACAGTCGAATCCATACCCCTCCACCAACCAATTCCAAGACCAATGCCTAACCGCAAACCTTACAAGTTGTGACGATTTGCTACGCAGTAGGCAAAAACCAAGTGGCACACACTAATCAGCCAAATGGACAAAATTCCTACCAGGCCCCTGCCCCAAAGCAGACGACCCCATGACAGGCATAGCAAGGTCAAGCAAACAGCCTAAAATTAGGGAAGGGAGGGCGGGTGATCCGAAGTAAGCAGCGAAAAGAGGAAGTTCCTCGCTGCGAGCATTGTATTTAAAAAAATAGGGCTGTCAGTCAACAAATGGCAACATCTAGATTTCCCCAGTAACAGCCTGCCCCTGCTTAAAGGATGGCCAAACCATTTGCCTAGTAACAGTGAGGTGTCTTGTCAGCCCCGCCTGCAACCTGTGCTCTCCATGAGGGAGAACACACTTTGGAAAAAAATTGCAGTCATACTGTACAAGTGTATAAAGGGGTTGAGACACAGAGAGCTGAATCCCTAGAGAGAGCACCTCTGTGATGTCATTTCCCTTGAACTTTGTGACGGGAAACTTAGACAAGGTAAGCATTTCCTCCTGGCCTCAGATCATCCTCTTTTACATTTGCCTGCTGATGGAGATGGATGTGTCGCTTGCTCTCATACTGCATTTTAGTATGTAGAAAGTAACTTCTGGAAGAGTCTGAAAAAGTATATTTAAGGCTAAGAAGTCTAGTCTCAAGTTTCTGTTTTACTCCGCCAAGGGATGGCAATATTTTTAACTCAGCAAGAGATCTAAATCTCACTCAAGTGAGACTGGGGAGATAAATTTTAATAGATCATTTCCTAATTAACAAAACCCAACATTTTCAAGAGTCCCTTCATTTGCTCTGCCAGTTACTTTTCCTCTATGCTGTACTAGGTTTTCCATTTGCTTATTATTTCTTTCTCTTCATTATTTATGTTTGTTTATACTTATATTTACATCTTACAACTTATCTTTGAGGAGCTCAAAGTGGCTTACATGGTTCTCTTCACAACAACCCTGTGAGGTAGGATAGGCTGAGAAACAGCATCTGTTTCCCAAGGGCACCCAATGAGCTTCATGGCTGAGAGCGGCTTTGAACCCTGGTCTGCTAGGTCCCAGTCTATCACTCTAACCACCTTCCTTTTTCTCAGCTGGGGGAGCTGAATTATAGCCAGGATCCTACTTAAGGCCAGGAGAAGCTGATGAGGAAGGATGTTGTCTTGCACCAGGTTGTCTCTATCAATGCATTTGCTGGGAGGCCAGGGGCAGAGCGTCACCTCTCCTCAGCAACTGCTCCTGCTTAAGGCAGCATTTCTGAAGCAAATCCTGAGGCGGGGGTAGCCCTGAAAGAAATCCCTGACAATGCTGTTTGCATTGGGAGAAAATGCCCCATTGGTGCCAATTGGTTAGGGGTTTCCCTGCAAAGCAAATATCAGCTCCAGAGGAACAGTTTCTCCCCCCCCCCTTGCTCTCTCTCAGAGCTGATGGAAGATTGGAAAGAGGTAATGCAATCTTGTTAATGATCAGCCCCCTTCAACAGATGATATTTGAATTATTATTATTATTTACATTCCACACATTAATTGCGAATTCACATTTAATGTGATGTTTAGTTTGGCCCCCAATCTCCTAGTGTGGCCAGCCAGGTGTCCCATGGGAGCTTGTATCAAAGGGGGCGGGGATGATGGAAGTAGTCAGTACAGTGGTACCTCGGGTTACAGATGCTTCAGGTTACAGACACTTCAGGTTACAGGCTCTGCTAACCCAGAAATTGTACCTCGGGTTAAGAACTTTGCTTCAGGATGAGAACAGAAATCATGTGGCAGTGGCACGGCGGCAGTGGGAGGCCCCATTAGCTAAAGAGGAGGAGGAGGAGCTTTATCACTACCCGAAGGAGTCTCAAAGCGGCTAACATTCTCCTTTCCCTTCCTCCCCCACAACTAACACTCTGTGAGGTGAGTGGGGCTGATAGACTTCAGAGAAGTGTGACTAACCCAAGGTCACCCAGCAGCTACATGTGGAGGAGCGGAGACGCAAACCCGGTTCACCAGATAATGAGTCTACCACTCTTAACCACTACACCACACTGGCTCTCACTGGTACCTCAGGTTAAGGACAGTTTCAGGTTAAGAACGGACCTCCAGAATGAATTAAGTTCTTAACCCAAGGTACCACTGTAATTGTGTTGGGGAGCAACTTCTAACTCCCAGCTTTTAGTTCTATGCAGACATGTGAAACCCAGCGGTGAAGTTCTTTTAACTTTCTGATCAGTCCTGCATCTTGAGCAACGTGTTCCAAAGAGATCCAGCGAGATTTACATTTTAAGAGACAGTGAATGTTAGGCTTGCCATCTGGATGAAGATTTCTCTGTGGTTATTGGGTGCAGGGAATTTCCTGCACTAATGGTACTGATTTGGAGTCAAAATTCTGATGGATTTTGCAGAACTTTACCATCATTCAGGGAGCTTTCATTGACTGTATATTGTGCGGACCTGTCAAACCTCTAAGCAGTCTTGATCCTTTTCTCCTGCTGGCAAATGAATAAAAGCAACGCCGGGCTAATAAAAAAATTGGCTTCATAACTTCAAATTCACTTTTCATTCACTTTGATTTTGCAAATGTAGAATGCACACTTATTTACTTCATTCCTTGGAAGCTAAATATTTTAAGGTCCAGTAATTTCAAGAAGAAAGTAAAGCATACACTTAAATCTCTTCCATTGAAATGAATTGGACTTAAAAGCGATAAACCAGCGATGGATTGTGCTCCCAATAAAGTTTATTCTTTCTCCATCTACTCAGCCTCATTGGCTTGTAGTGAGGATAAATGGGGAAAGTGCTATATAGTAAACAGAACAATTATTACGATAGCAAGCTGCATTATACCAGGCCAGGACGCCAGTATTATTCCACTCTGGCTGGTAGCAGCTCTCCAGGATGGCTCAAGTACAAATACTTTAAGTAAAGATTGCTCTCCAAGACAAGAAGCCATAACCTGCAGGAATCTGTTCTGTTATTTGGAGGACAGAAGATCTATATGTGAAATCCAAGACTGCAAACAACTTTACTGATTCTTAGTTGTTTAGTCCTAAATTCAGTTTGCCACATTTCAACCCCTTCTGCCCCCCTTAAAAAAGTCCTCATGAAAATGTGTAAGCACTTTAGTGTGTGTTTTTTCCTATTCAACATGTATGCAACAAGCAATTTCCCCTAGAATCATAGAATCACAGAGATGGGAAAGACCACAAGGGCCATCGAGTCCAACCCCCTGCCAAGCAGGAAACACCATCAGAGCACTCTTGACATATGGTTGTCAAGCCTCTGCTTAAAGACCTCCAAAGAAGGAGACTCCACCACACTCCTTGTTGTTTTTTTAAATGATATTTATTGGAAAAAATTTTTTTTTTAAATTACACACAAAAAAAAGACAGGACAGAAAAATAAAAAAATAAAATAAAACCATCATTCTCAAATTCTCCACTTTCAATACCTTCTTTCTTTGACCTCCTCCTCCTCCCTTTTCTTGTATCCTGATTAATAATAATCACAGCAAATCCTTTCCATAATTCATAGTATTCTGTCATTACATTACCTTAATCTATTTTCATCTTATCTTATAGAAAACCTTAAAGTTTAAAACTTAAATCTTATTTTTACCAACTTCTCCTAGCCATAACATTCTTACCAAATTCTTTAGACATTTTTACAAGAGCCAAGTAATTTCATTTCAACATTTTTCTAGCATTCATCAATTTTATAGAACAATCCTAATGATAAAAAAAAGAAATAAACAATCCAATCTTCATCCAGCGTCCCTTCCTCCTGGTCCCGGGTTTTGTCAGTCCTTTTTATCTTATTAATCTAGCACATTAACCTGGTAATCTTATATCCGAAGCCCTCAAGTCTCTTCC